GTATCCAATGTCACAGAACAATGTTTGTGAATCACTGATCGGGAAACTCGTTCACCCTGGAGATGTGTTTCAAGAGACGAGACCCGCTGCAGTGCACTAGGAGACGGTGGGAACTGATGCTGGGAACAGTCGGTGCCGGGCAGCCTTGCCGAACACACAGGAGCCCAGCTCGCTCTGGACCCTGAGGAGTCTGGAGGCTGCAGAGCTGGGAGAGGTGGAAAGAGGTGTCTCTCGGCGCGAGCAGAGCCAGGCTTCTGGGCCGGGTCTAAAGCGCCACACCACACGGTGTGATGGGTATCGGAGGACAGAGACCAGCTTTGTAGGGGCAGGTGACTCCACAACCCAAGAAAGCCTCCTGTGAGGGACGTGCAGGACTTGAACCTCAGGCAGAGACCAGAGGAATTGGGGGCAAAACTTGAGATCAGAATAAAGCAGAAAACCTCGAAACAGAAGTGCAAAGGAGAGGGAGGCAAAGGCAGCGTCATCCCCAAACACCGGAAGATCCTCTGAGACCCGCTCACGTAATTGGATGCCTTGCTGGAGTAAACATTTTATAGTTCAGTTACTGTCACGCTGAGAATTCCCCACCCTGGCTTGTGCCAAACAGGTGCTGACTTGAGGAGAAACCGGGTCTAAGCTCCCACCGGGTGAGGGCGATGGACCCCTCCAGGTGCCCGGTGGCAGGGACTCCCAGACAGAGGGGCTATTTTCAGTGCACGCAGCTATTCAGACCCCTCTGCGCCTGGTGAACTCAAGCAGGAGTTTGCAGAAACCGTCTGATGGGCAAGCGCCTTCGGAACGGTTCCTCCCAGGTCAGTCACGGCTGACAAAGGGAAAACTCAGTAGACCTGAATGTGCAAAATGAGGCTGCCCCAGAATGCTAAGTGAAACGGGAAACTAAGGGCCCTGCTTCTGGAAGTATCATGTCTTAGAAAGCCAGGGCAGTGTGTGCCTTTGATAGCTTCCAAATCTCTTGACCGGCAGCATTGGACACCAGTGTCCAGCTCAAAGTTGGCGGCCACGTGCTTCCCTTGGGCCGTGCGGGGCTCCCCACAGCTCCGGCAGTAACCCCAGCTCTGTGTCGGGCTCCTGATAGGTGCACTGCCCTCGAGCGGGTCTCTCATCCCGGAGCGTTGGCTTACACAGCTGCCCGGTCCAGCACGGCCACGTGACACATTCAAGTCTGTTCCCATTTCACCACGTAGGCCATGACTGAACCAGTCAGGTCTGGTTTGAAGTCCTTCAGCAACACAAGGTTTTGGCAGAAAGCAGAGTCAGGCAGATGGGAGCTGTCGCTGTAATTATCTCGCCTCAGCTCTGTCCCTCTTCCTTCTAAGAAAAGGCATGTACACTTGCGGGCTAATCGTGCTATGGCAGCACTGCTGTCAGGCCCGGATTCTGTTCAGACGCATTCAGATTACAGGTCCGAGCTATGCCTGAACCTTATTCATTCGAGAAAAACCTCCTGTCCCCTACTACGTGGAAGACATCGTGCAACACGTTACAACAGTAAACGGAGACAGTCCATGACATCTGGGGTTTGCCTTCTAAGAGAGAAAGAAACTAAGTAAAGGGCCTAAGGCTGGTCCTCGCGGGTCTCTGAAGGCCACAACGCATGGCGCCCCACGTGTGCGGGGCAGACTGGCCCCGCAGGATTTCCAAGTCTGACTTTCGGAAAGAAGAGCGCCAGGACTGTGTGCAAGAGAGCTCCCTCTGTCCTCCAACCAGCACCCTGCCGTCTGGAGTTAACTGTCCGCAACACCCAGGGCTGCACGCACGGAAGGTCGAGGTCTTCGTTTCAAACGACTCCTCACGTGGGTGTTTGTGGGTGGTGAGGGTGTGCATGCAATCCTCCAGGTGAGACACCGCCGTCTTCACGGGAGAGCCAGTCAGCTCAGACAGGGCTTCTACCCATTAACGGGCCAACGAATCCCCCGGATTTCTCCTTAAAACGCAGATGCGGACTCAGTGGGTCTGAGGAATAGTTTTTGTCCCCAACAGTGGCGGTTCGTTGAGAGAATTGTCACCGCCCGTGCAGGAGGGGCTGGTTCAATTCGGGCCCCTGCAGTCGCCACGTCTGTCATTTGTGGCGTGGTGGTCGTGTCCACTTGGCTAAGCCAAGACCCTGTGGTCAGGCCCGTTTCAGTCCTCATCCTCTGTTTTGTGGCCTGATGCGAGAGGCTGATTTCTTTGTGTGACTTGCCCTCAGTAGATAAGGACGTCACGGCGAAGCTTGCCCTTTCTTAATCCTGCGTAGGACAGGAGCCAGTTGTGAGCCAATTTGGGTTTGCCAACCCGGCACCAGGTTGAGTCAGAAGCCACTAGCCTCAGCCTGACCGACCGATGGGCTTAGAGCAGTGGTTCTCAACCTGATTCGTAAGTGTAGCAAAATGACAGTGATGAAGTAGCAACAAAAATAACGTGGTGGCTGGGGGTCACCACACGAGGAACCGTATGAAAGGGTCGCGGCATCAGGCAGGCTGAGAACCACTGGCTTGGAGAACCTGTCTCCACAGCTGTGCAAGCCATTTTCTTGAACTACCGTATATACTCGTGTGTACGTCGAGTGTTCCAGCACATTTTTAATGCAGTTTTTGTGGTAAAATTAGGTGGCTCGGCTGATATTCGGGCCAGTTTATACTTGAGAATATATGGTAAATCTGTATTCTCTCTCACACATACACACACAGCAAATAAATAAAGTATTGCTGCAAAAGAGTAACCTTTATTAAACAAAAATATCACAATATGAAGCTTATGCTTCTCAATGTATCTATCCACCGCGTAGTCTATCTACCCGTCTGAACATGGCATTGCCACCCCTCGCCCTGCCCTGAAGGGCTTCCCACTCTTCTGCTTTCACCGTGTCAGGTGGCAGTTGGGGCACCCTTGCAGGACTCCTGTCTTGGAACTGTTTTGAGTGTTGGCAACAAAAAGCAGCCTGAAGGGCAATAGCAGGGCTGTGGGGAGACGGGGCAAGTTTCTGAAAGAGCGTGTGAGGGCACCCTCGCTACCTACAGAGAATGCGCATGCACCTGTCAGGATGGCAGGGGAAACAACGCCTTTCCCTCACCAACGCCGTTTGGTTTTCTTTAAATCTCTCCCTAATTATCCCTCATGGTCACCCTCTGTCCTTTTTTACCAGGATTACTCCTTTAGGATTAAAAAAAAAGTCTGAATGGCCTTGTGAGCCAATCTTTCTGCCTTACATTGAACTGCCCCACCAGCTGCTCTGGGCAGCCACAGGTTTGATGGGCCCCTTTTCTGAGGGCAACCTAGCGAGAGTACGACGGTGCATTACTGAGAACGTGCCTGCAGAGACACATGTTTTATGGGATACACCTGTGCTTCTGAGGGGAGCCCAGTAGCGGTACCTTTTCCACTTACCCTCTTAGGTACACACTTCGCGAGTCTGCTCCCAGCCTTCAACAGGCGCTCGGCCTGCGGCTATGCTGCTGAACCACCTTTACTGCTCCTTCTGACAACCGGCCACCGTCAACTCTGAGGTCCACAAAAGCCCAGTCTACACCCCATCAGGAAGACGGCACAGGACCAGGCGTGCCCCCCATTGGGCAGGGGTGGCCATGCGTCTGGGCCGACTCGATCACACCAGCCCCTAGAGGGTTTTGCCGCCACCAGGCCACCAAGTGGACCACCGATTTGCGTAGGAGCCAGCCCCGGGAGCAGGGGCTCTTCGTCTGGGTGGAGAGTGTTGTCTCCCCACGACTTCCTGCTGCCCGCCATATTCGCCTTGTGCCACACCGTTGCCATAGCAACTCCCCAAGCAGGCAGGGCAGCAGGAGCCATCCTCCTTTGTCAAGGTAAAGACACAGCCCAGGGAGGTTGAGGGGGGAAGGTTGCCAAGCCAGTGGGGGCAAAGCTGGGGCCAGACTACAAGCTCCCTCCTGCCTGCTCAGAGGGCTTTCTACCCTGGCCTGGAGCTGACGGGGCCATCAGAGAAGGAGCCTTGCAAATGCTTCTAGGGGCCGTTAAAGAAGCCAGCTCAGCCAAAAACTTCACGGCTGCATTCCTAAGTCTCAGAGGTCAGCTAACCCTCACAGGGCTAGTCCCTATGGTCCACCTGCGGCCCACCTGCACACAGCTCACTGTCTGACTTCTTGGAAGGCTTCCGGATGACGTCTTCAGCTCTCTCCAAAGGGGGGTGAGTTTTGCAAGAAGCCGGCCGCTGCTCGGCCCATTCGTTCAACACTCTCAGGTGGGCAAGCCCCGAGAAACGGGCCAGGCAGAGAAAGGTCCCTCTCCTTAGTTGACAGGACTTCTTGGGGAGACTGGACACGAGATAGCTATTTCCATATGCAAAGCTGGGCGATGTCAGTAAGGGTGACTCAGCCCGTCAAAACACGCGGGGCCTGCACATTCGGTAAATATTCAACTGCCCACGGCACGTTGTAATGAGGACGTAGACGTGGAGGCACCTTCTGATGGGCCGCAAGCCAAGACGACGACTGGACAACGCTGTCGGCAGCACCGTCTTCCTGGAGGCAGAGGGCCACTTCAAGGCGTGACCCCGGGGGAACTGGGTCCATGGTATTCGGTGCGGTGTGTCGGCGAGGCAGGCTTGAGGGCCAAGACTCAGCGAGGCCATCCAGCCACAAGGAGTGAGGGGCGGCTGCAGTGAATTTTCCCAAACTGGAGCCCACGGAGGAACACCATGGGCCGGGAGGGGCCGGTGGCTCCTGAGGGTGAACGTGTGGCGGCAGGAGGGGCAGTGGCTCGGCGTTCTGCATCGGCGGCAGACGGGTAGGCTCCAGACGGTAGGCCAGCCTTGGCTCCAAGAGAGACGGAGGATGGAGAGGGGACACGGGATGAATGTCCTCAAGGACAGACATGAACCCCACGTCTGCCTGGCTCCCAGCTGGGCCTGGGAGGAAGTGGGGGGACGCTGCCTGGGGGGGGGGGTTGGGAAGGCGAGGGAGCCGACCTCCTACCGGGCTTCACTCTACAACAAGTGAAAAAGGCAGAAAGCCAGTTTTATCTGCAAGAAAATGTTTATTCTTCTGAACCCCACAGGAGGAAAGGGGGGGGAATGCAGTCAAGACCAAGTATTTTATGTAAACAGAGTCCCCAAAGGCTGCAAAATGGGGGGACTCTCAAACACAAGTCAGGTGACAATTTTTCATGTTTTTGCACAAAGATGAAAAAAAAAGAAAGAAAGTGCCTGTAACAATTCTGAGTAACACTTTTATGGCGACAGTTTCACAAGCTGATTCAAAAATGCAACGTGCATACCTGGTTAGCGCAGGGCTCTCGTGTTTAATCCCCACACAGAGCTCTGGGACCAGGACGAGGACGGCGCCTCACACTTCCGCTTGACTGGCTTGCCTTTGCTTTCCAGGTGCCGACACGCCCCGAGCAGGAAATCCCAGGACTCTGTCCTTCCAGCACTCAGGGCAAGGAAACAAGCCAGTCGACTGCGAGCTTCCACTAGAACCCTGACGTGCCCTTCCCTCCCCACCCGGGCCCTCACGTGCCGCCTTCCAAAGTGGCCAGTGCAATAGACATCGACAACAAATCTGTGCAGCTTTGCGCAAAAAACTTTTTAAATAACGAGGAAAGAAAACCCACCTTGGCACAGCTGCTTTTCCAGTCATCAAACATAAGATGATGAGAAGTGGGGAACAGTTAAATAAAATAAATAAAAATTAAAAACCACTCGAATCGCAGCATTCTTGGCCGTCATCACAGTCCCACACACAACGCTGCCCGGCTCCCCTTCCCAAGGTGCTTTGCTCCGGGTGATTACCGAACCCGGTGCAGCAAACTATTAGAAGCAGCTGAGAAGCTGGGGCCGTGGTGGGGACAGCCCCGCTGCCACCAGGTTTACAGCAGGATCCGCAGCGAGCTTGGAACAGATAGACGACAGATGATGGTACAGCGGGGCCCGGGGGCGGGGGTGGAGGGACAGCTTAAAGGGATACAAGTTTCCTCTCGAAATGTCTTTTCCCAAGGCACTGTGCACCAGACGGCTGCTCGCCGGTTTCTAGGCCCAACCAACTGGTAGGAACCTAAGTACTTCCGACACAGCCCCGGCTCTGTAATCAAGCTAGTCTCCTCTCTCTCTCCTCTCGGCTGACACCACGTGCCTGGAATTTAGGGGGGCCTGGGAGGGGCAGTCGGTTTTTATTTTCTGGACTATCAATAATCAGCTCCCTGTATGCAGCTATCAAACTAAAGTGGGTCAATTATTTAATTAACCCTCTCGCTCTCACCATGATCGGATGTGCTGGCCTGGCTTTGCGGGTTTACGGCAGAGCAAGAATACAGGGCTGAGGAGTGGAAACCCGGTTTGTTTAGGGTTCGCTTTTCCCCTCGAGAGGACACCACGTGAGAACACATCCAAGGCAAAACTGGAGACTTGAAATCCAGGGACGGCTTGAATGGCCCAGAGAAACAAACTGCCAAGCCCTGTGAGGGCGTCTAGAAAGTGACCCGAGAAAAACCGACGGGCAGCTCTATCAGATTTGGATGGTCTACCCCCTGTTTTAAAAATGGCAACGTATACTGTCCCACAAAATACAATATAAACTTTTTTTTCTTTTTTTGTTTGTTTTTTTAATCTTGACTGCCAGAGATGCTCTTGCAATGCCTCCTGGTCCCGGTGGCTGGGGAGTGCCCGAGCTGCCTCATTTCTTCAGGGGCTGGTAAACAGAGGCATTGGGGTCAAGTCCGGAGGGGCTGGTCTCCACAAACTTGGAAGAGTAATGGGGGGAAACGGGGCTCAGGGGGCTGGCGGCGGCACTGTACGTGATGCTGGGCATGACAGCCATGACCTCGGCGATCTTCTGTTTGAGGTCCTTGATCTCCTGGTCTTTCTGCAGGATCTGTCCTGGAGGAAGAGCAGAGACAGGGTCAGTGAGGAAGGCGAGCCGGGCAGTGTGAGCCCGCTGGGGGGGTGAGGATGCGCACTTCTCCTGGGAGGGGCCGCATACTTGAGTTGTGTCCCTTTTCTTCCCCCAGCTACGGGGGACACGGGCCATGCTCATTCCTGGGGGGAGGGGAACAGGTTGCAGGCTGGGCTGGCCTGTGTGCTCTGGGGCTAACTGGCTCAGGGTTAGGGGTCAAAGTGATTCTGTGGATGTGAATGGCCTATGATGGCCTCTGTCCAGCTGGAGGAGCACCAGTCCAGGGCTCCGGTCCAGCCAGCACGTCAGACTCAGCAACACAGGGGTTCTCATGGGAAACAAAAGGGGCCCTGTCACTGTGACTGCTGCCTGTGGGGACCCTCCGTCACCCAGAGCTGGCTCTGAGGGTGAGCCTTCGGGCCACCTGGTTTGCACGTGGAGGGACACAGACATGAATTAGCCGGATCAGCTTCATGGCACGCCCTCCCCATTCCGCTTCCAGGTCCTGCCTTGGCCACCTTCCCTTCCTGGGCATCTCCTGCCACCTCCTGTCCGCTTGAGGTCTGTTTTCACTCATACCACCGTCCCTGGCCTGCCATCCTGAACGCCCTCCTCCTCCCTCCTCGGTTCCCACACATGCTAAACGTTCTACCCTGCTCCGTGCTCCCTGTGCAGGTGGCCAGGATGACCACCCGGAGCACTCAAGGCTTCATGTGTGCCACCCAGTGGTTTCCCATGGCAGCCACCAGGGGGCCCCAGAGCCCACTCCCAACTCTCAGAGTAACCGGGCTGAGGCGTGCAGGGCAATGAGCTGAGCCAGGCCCAAAGTCGGGCTTTACTGCAAGATTCCCAGGAGCCTCCTTGAACACCTCTCCTCTCTCTGAGGCCACGGCCTCTCCGGCCACACTCCAGCCACACTCGAGTCTCAGCCCTCTGCTCGCTGCTCTGCCTGGGCCACTCCAGCCATGCAGAAGCGGCACGGCCTCCGAGTCCCCACCTGCCCCCAACGGTGCTGACTTCTCTCTGGGGCTTGGGCTCCGTTCTCAATCACACTCATCCTCTCCTCTACCCTCTGAAGCCTGTTCTGCTCTCCTCCTGGCTCCTGTAACGAGCTTCCCAGGCTTCTCCAGCGTCTGCCCTCCGTCCCCCACCCTCCTCGGCCGTGAGACCACAGACAGCCACGGCTTCCTCACTGGCCACCTCCGTTCCTCTCACCCTGTTACTTCCACTGGGAGACTTCCACACGCGGGGCAGAACCAGCGCCCCTGTTCCCCTGCAAAGCTCGGGAGACACTGTGTATGCGGCTTCACACGTGGCCCTCTGACACCCGCTCTCGTCCTCCACCTCTTCTGCTGGGGCCACTGCTCCCTTGGGCACGCCCTTTCTTGCCTACTCTTCCCTCAGGGAACAGCTCGTCCTGCCTGCCTTTCTCTGCGCTCCACCTTGCCCCTCTCTTCAGAGCCATCCCTGACCAGCCCTCTGCCTTCCTGGGGTCCTCAGCTTGCCGGCCCCCCGCCCCCTCCCTTTGCACTGGTCACACAGAGAGCCATCCCAGGCCCACCAGGTCCAACCCATCCTACTGTTGCTGAGCCTGCCACCTGCTTTCGTGACTCCCGGTCTTTCTGAGTGTCACTGGAGTTTGCCCAGAAATGACCTAACTGGTCATATGACAGTAGGGGAATGATAACTATCTCCTGGACAAATTCCAGATTTCTTTTCATCAGGTACGTCAGGCTCTGTTCAGAATCTTTCTCAAATCAAATCTCCCAGGCCACTCAGTGTTCTCCCTGGGTGACAGGGCCCTAGAAAACCTGGCTCCTGTCACTTCTGACTCTCCTGGCTCTTGCCTGCATGCAGGCTGCAGCCCCAAGACCCGCACCCCCCCCTCCCCCAATGCATGCCTCCTAGTCGCGCACACTGGCTCGCTGGCCACCTCACCCAGCCCCGCCCCCGGCTGCTCCTCAGATGTTGAGCGTGCACCCCTGCTCTTCTGCTGTGCCTCTGCTCAAATGCTTCCTGTTCTGGAACCTTCCTTCCCTCACACACAGCTCCTCACTGCTTTACGCTATTCCTGCACCCATGACCTCCTGGCCTGTCATACATTTTCATATTCACTGTCTGTACGCACTAGGGCTGGATCCCCAGGGATGCTCACAAGTCCAGGAAGTACCTGCCTAATGAATGGCCTGTTCTCTAACCTCTCCTCCCCTTCGTCCATGCCAAGCAGAGCCCATCAGGCCCCGCCGAGCCAGGCTGTCTTCTTGTAGAGGCCGCTTGACCCTTCGCCCCCACCACGCACGGGCCAGCTGCCATGGGCACCGGCTCCCGCTAACCCCACCCACTGCTCCATAGTCGAGAAGCTCCCCCAGCGCTCACTGTACACCGCGATGCAGTGGCACCGAGTGCCCACCAGCCTGTGAGTTCGGTGGGCAGACAGCTCTGTGTCCTGTGTCCTCATGTTGAACACTCGCACCTCAGCACGTTCGCAGACGAATGAACTGACTGCTGGGCACTGACCGGTCTCCTGGCAGGGAAGTGGGAAGTGCCCTTGGTTCAGAACTCTCAGGGGGTGCGCTCTGGTCAAGCTCTTCCCTTACCTTGGGCGATCTCGAGCTGCCGCTTGGCGTCCCCGAGGGCAGAGAACAGGTCCAGCTTGATCCTGGTCTCTGCGCTCAGGCTGTTCTCCAGGTGCTGGGTTTTATCTTGCATGGCGGAGAGGGCAGACATCAGCACCTCCGTGTCCTTCTCATTTTCCTTGTACTTCCGAAGCTCCTGTCACGAGCACAGCACAGCAGTGGGACACACGCTCAGGCAGCCACGGCTACAAGTTAGCTGAGGTCCAAATTAACCCCACTACTGGTGGCATCGTGGTTACATACAGGGCTGTGAGCCACAAGGTCAGTGGTTCAAAACCACCAGCAACTCCTGGGAGAAAGACAAGGCTTTCTACTCCTGTAGTTAGAGCCGCGGAAACACCACAGGGGCAGTTCTACCTGACGACAGTGAGTGTAGGGTTTTTTTTCAGTTTTTCTTGTTGACCTGGCCACTAGCACACAGCATCCCAACATCTTGTGGAGCTAGACATTACTGCTCACAACATGTACGGTGATACTCGTACACGAACAGTTTAGCAGAGAAGTATTTGATTCTGTATTGGGGGCATGTCTATATATCTGTGGACTCTACCTCTGAATAAAACTTTCCTGCCAGCCTCGTTCAGAAGTACACAGAATGTTTCCTTTCCAGGCGGCTGGAAAGGGTGGTGTAATGCTGTAGTTACATTGTCAAAACTCTGTGAACTTACACTAAAAACGACCAAAATGGGAATGATTCTGACTGCAGTATAATGCAGAATAAGCACACGAAAACAACCAATACTCAATAAATAGTCACACAATATTGGGGGTGGGGGAGGTTACGAGACATCTAAACACTACAAGGAACTGAGAGGGAAAAACAATCCCCCACACTCCCCAAGCCTAAGTAATACTGTGAAAAACTCCATCTTCCTCTGTGTCTGTGTAACCTGCACACATGCCTCTTCAAGCACAACGAAGACAGACCACAGGAGCACCTTTATACATAGCTTAGAATTTTTTGTTATCCCAACTGATTTTTCAAAATATAATTTTAATGGCTGCATAATATTCTTGTGTGTATGCTTGCCACAATTTGTTTAAAAATCTGTGTTAAGCTTTCCAATTTTGCATTTAAATTTGTATTTGGGGAGAAAGATAAGACTTTCTACCCCCTAAGAAGCTGTCTTGTCTCAGAACCTGTGCAACAAGGTTACTACGAGGTGGCATCGACCTTGTCTTTGTGCATCAATCCCTGGTCCAATGTTCAGACATCTCCAAGGGGTCTGCTGCTGGTGCTCTGGGTTAGGCATGATGCTGCTAACACTGATGTTGGCGGTTCAAAACCACCAGCCACTCCTTGGGAGAAAGAGGAGACTTTCTATTCCCATAAAGATTTACAGCTTTGGAAACCCAAAGGGGCAATTCTACTCTACAGTGTCTACAGTCTACAGAGTTTCTGTGAATCAAATTCAATTGATGGCAATGGACTTTTTAAAAATTTTAAACTGTAAGCTGGACAGCTAAAAAACTATACACACGCGCACACACACACGTATTGGAAAATAGATTGTCATTATATAGATCAGAGATCTTTACAATATTCATGACTTCTTCTAGGTTTTCCTTCCACCAGCAGTGTATAAGGACTATTCTGTGGCTCACCAAGGTTAACATTACCACTTAAAAACATCAATGCTCATTATTATCTGCAGGTCTATCTAGATAAGATAGGCAGGATAAAAAATCTGGAGGAGAAAACAATGGGACCAATGGTTCTGGGGGGACATGGGAGAGGGAGAGTTGGGGAAAAGGAAGTGGTGTTAACAAACCCAGGGACAAGGGAACAAAGTGATACAAAATCAGTGGCAAGGAGGGTGTAAGAAGCCTGGTAGGGGGTGATCAAGGGCAATGTAACCGAGAAGAATTACTGAAACCCAAATGAAGGCTGAGCATATTAGTGGGACAAGGGGAAAGTAAAAGAAAATAGAGGAAAGAAGTAGGAAGCAAAGGGCATTTATAGAGGTCTAAATACAGGCATGTACATATGTAAAGATATTTACATGTGACGATGGGTAAATAGATCTATGTGCATATATTTCTAGGTTTATAATTAAGGTAGATAGACATTGGGCCTCTTTTGTTCTATTAAATTGGCATTCCATGATGCTCACCTTCCAAACATGATCGCTGAAGACAAAGAGGGTGCATAAGCAAATGTGGTGAAGAAAGCTGATGGTGCCAGCTATCGAAAGATATAGCATCTGGGGTCTTAAAGGCTTGAAGATAAACAAGCGGCCATCTAGCTCAGAAGCAACAAAGCCCACATGGAAGAAGCACAGCAGCCTGTGTGATCATTAGGTGTCAAAGGGATCAGGTATCAGGCATCAAAGAACAAAAAAACTTATCATTGTGAATGAGTGGGGGTGTGAAGTGGGAGCCCAAAGCCCATCTGTAGGCAACTGGACATCCCCTTACAGAAGAGTTGGGGAGAGAAGAGCCAGTCAGGGTGCAGTATAGCAACAATGAAACATACAACTTTCCCTTAGTTCTTAAATGCCTCCCCCCACCCCCCACCCCACCACTATCATGATCCCAACTCTATCTTACAAATCTGGTTAGACCAAAGGATGCACACTGGTACAGATAGGACTGGAAACACAGGGAGTCCAGGACAGATGAACCCCTCAGGCCAGTGGTGAGAGTGGCGATACCGGGAGGGTGGAGGAAAAGTAGGGTAGAAAGGGGGAACTGATCACAAGGATCTACATATAACCCACTCCCAGAGGGACAGACAACAGAGAAGTAGGTGAAGGGAGATGTTGGTCAGTGTAAGACATGACAAAATAATAATAATTTATAAATTATCAAGGGTTCATGAGGGAGGAGATGAGGGAGGGAGGGGAAAAATGAGAAGCTGATACCAAGGGCTCAAGGAGAAAGCAAATGTTTTGAGAATGATGATGGCAAGAAATGTACAAATGTGCTTGACACCATAGATGTATGTATGGAGTGTGATAAAGAGTTGCATGAGCCTCCCCAAAAATAATTTTTTTTAAGTTGATGTATGGATTGTTTTAAGAGCTATAAGAACTCCCAATGATTTATTAATTTAAAAGTTGCAAACACACACACAATCCGCACCCCCCCCCCCAAAAAAAACCAACCCATCAATGCTCATTGTAAAGGAGAAAAAGGGCACCTTTGTTACTGTGCATTTCTTCAGTGGCTGAGGGGGTATATTCTTAGTTCTTATCGGTTGTCCACAATGTTCTATGAATTATTTGTGCACATCCTCTGCATGTGTCCCGACTACTTCAGCTCATCTTAACGTGCTATTTTTATGAGCTACTTACATACTGAGAATATTAAGCCCCTAAAATTTACTTTATTTGTTGTGCCATCTGTTTCTTCTCTAATATTACTTTTCTCCCCCCTCCCTCCTTCGTGATTTCTTCCATGGCTTTAAGATCAAATAATTTCTACTATCCTTCCTTTTTTTTTAAGTTCTGTTTTCCTGTATTTGACCGTTCACCTGGTATTGATTGCCTTTTACATGTGATGTGAAACGAGCATCTAACTGTGGGTTCTTCTGTGCAGGGACTTGACTGTTCTCCAGCCTTCCCCACAAGCCCGCACTATGCCACTGACGTCAGACGCCGCCTGGGCGGCCTCAGCCTTAGGCCTCTTCCCCGTCACCGAGGCTCCTGCATCGACTTGCTGGCATTTCTGTCCCCCAGTTCCACCACAAGCCCGCTGCTGCCAAGTCCACTGACTCGCCCAGAGCGTCCCTAGAGAATGACCGAAGCAGACTGCAGCTTCCAGCTGCCCACCTTTCAGCCAGCAGCTGGGCACTAAACCGCAGTGCCACCAGAGTTCCACGTGACGCAAGTGACTGAACCTCACAACAGATGACATCAGCTCTCAATGTCCTTTGGAAGAGCCAATGTCAAGTGCTTGGTGATGGAAAATGAGCCCCAAAGACTAGCTACGTCCACGCATGGCTGTCCTTCGTCAGAGAGCATTGCGTAGAAGCACAACCCTGAAAGGCAACTCCCTGGCCAGGGGCTGAGAAGTGTCAATTCCGAAGGACACAACTCTGGCCTGCTCAACCTGCCCCAGCAGAAGGGGTACGTCAGGGCCCGGCACAACACACGTCAACCGGCTGGTACTGGACTCTGGGTCTGTGGCACAGGGCTCACAATGAGCTGGACAAGATTAGGGTTTTAAGTCTTTCTGCCACCGGGAGATTTTCAGGTGTGATGGGGTGTGGCTTGTATCAAACACTTGCTGTCATTGAGTGATGCTGGCTCACAGCGCCCCTACAGGGCGGAGCAGAACTGCCCCTGTGGGTTTCCGAGACGGTAACTCTATGGGAGTGGTCTTTCTGCCAGGCTGTTCTGTTGCAATTGGGCCGTGATGTGCTTTCCCTGTGTGGTGATACTCTACATGGAGAGACAGCGGGACAGACTCTCAGCCTTGAAGACCTCTGTTCCTTCCCCATCAGACCGAAGGAGGGACTGGTGGTTTTGAACCGCTGACTTTGGGTTTAACAGCTCCACACGTAATGCGCTACACCACCAGGGCACCTTAGCACAGAGCATGGATGCAGCCTAGAAGAGGAGTCCATAGGAGAGGTCTCTGTCTGCCCTGCCTCCCCTGCCCCACTTTACCTGAACTTTCAGTTCTAGCTCTCGGATCTGGTCTTCCTTCACCTTCATGTCCATTGTCAGCTTCTTGCCCTCGGCCTCGAGTTCTCGGATCCGGTTCCGCAAGGTTTCCGTGCACTCTCCCCTTTGTAGAAAAGAGACGGAATGAAGAGTTTCAAAGACAGGTGTACTCTCACCGTGAGGTTCTGTCCGAGTCCTTTTACAGGTCTGGTTTCTGCTTTGACCCCGCCGATTCATTCTCTGTCCTTTGTTAGACTCCACACTCATCTACAATAATTATTTCAGAGGTCTAGCACGAGCCAGGCACCAAGCTAGGTACTTTACCCATATTGCCTTACTCAGCTTTATGGGGCAAGGTGTACTACCCACCCCACTTCCCAGGTTAGAACACTAGGCCAAGGGAGACAATACTAGCACAAGGCCACCGAGCTTGTAAACCAGCCTTCCAAGCCTGGTGACGTGACCCATGCAAACTACGCTGAGCCATAACACACACACACACACACACACACACACACACACACACACACACACACACACACACACACACACACACACACACACACACACACACACGGCGCTGAGCTAAAACTTTGCCGGGCTGTGCGTGGGGCACCTCAGGCGAGCTTTGGACACGCTGCCCCAAGCCTGGAGCAGAGAGCAGGGGAAGGAGCAGCATCGGGCTGCTTCTCGGAGGCGTTAACAGCCCCCGGCCCTCGTGTGGTCCAGCTCAGCCCGCTGGCTGGGACACGACGACAGTGGCCCGTGCAGAGCTGTCCAGTGCAGACAGTGGGTGGTGCTTTGCCTCGCTTGCTCCGTGACAGAAATGTCTCCCTGGCTTTGGGAATGTTGACGAGGGTCTTATTATTTGTATTGCGGTCTTTATATTATTCTTTTATCCTTACCACCATATGTCTAATTCTGTTTTTATTGTTTCTGCTGGCTTTCCCAGTGTGTGCCCTCAAGAGGAGTGGATGCCTAGCAACAATATGGATACAGAGGTTGATGGGGGTGCAGGGATACGGGTAGGAGATAGGGAGGAAGCACTAGAACTGTGATTGCACAACTCATTTAAATTGCCCCCTGGCAATTAACCAGGGGGGAGATGTTCTAATACTGATGTGGTAATGATTGTACAATTCTCCTTGATACAACTGAACGACTGAACTATGAAGTGTATGCTATGTAAATGATGTGCCAATAAAAGTGTTAAAATAAAAAGGAGGGCCAGGGCCAGACTGCACGCTGGGACTGACCTCACTGGAAGACAGCTTCTGTGTCGATGATGCAAACAAGAGTCAGGAAAGGACGCACCGCCTTCGAGTCGATTCCGGTTCATAACAACACTGTAGGCAAGGTAGGACCGCGCCTGTGGGTTTCTGAGACTATTAACTCTTTATGGGAGTAGAAAGCTTCACTGCTCTCCCTCAGAGCAGCTCGGCTGGGGGTACTGGACTGCTGACTTTCCGGTACACAGTACAATGTGTAACCTGCTATGCCATCAGGACCCCCATCCAAGGGTCGGCCATACCAAATAACCTTCACAAGAAGCCAATGGGCTGAAATCAATTTTCTGCCTCTCAGGTATTTGAGACGCTGAACGACAGGGTAATGGGCCTGCAGGGTCCTCCTGGGTGGGTTTTTGAAAGGATGGACGGGCACTGCGTGAATGAACAAGCACAGGACAAACCAGGGGACTGTCCAGAACAGCCTCCTGTGAGTGTGCAGCAGAAACGCTTACAGCCGCAGCCCCTTAAAACTAACAAGGAGAAGCGCCCACCCTCTGTGCAGGATGGGAAAAGGGCTTGTGATTCTGTATAGCTCAGCGGTTCTCAACCCGTGGGTTGCGACCCCTTTGGGGGTCGAATGACCCTTTCACAGGGGTTGCCCGATTCAAAACAGTAGCAAAATGACAGTGATGAAGTGGCAACGAAAATAATGTTAGGGTTGGGGTCACCACCACATGAGAAGCCGTGTGAAAGGGTCGCCGCGGCATGAGGAAGGTTGAGGACCTGAGACAGAAGCTGCTGGGCTGAGGATGGGAGAGTTGGCCGGCCGGCAGGCCGAGGGCAAGCCAGAGTCACACAGAGACAAGCCTTCTCTTTCACTGCTACTTCCTAATGCCCAAATGACGATGCGTCAATTCTACATGCAGCGGACTTTAAGAGGGCATCAATAGCATCCAAAGGTTGCCAAATAAACTACTTGTTTAATACAGCAAAGCAAAAACTCAAGGAAAAATTATACCACACAGATACAAATCGGGAAGGAAGCCCTAACGAAACAAAGATAACGAGAGACCTTCCTTCTGTATCTGCGAACCCACAACTGGCCGGGCCCTCGGGATGGGCCACCTGACAGGCTCAGAAACCCAAAGACGTGGGGATGAAGTGGAGCAGAGATTCCCCCTCCTTCCCAATATAACAAGCTAAATTTGGAGTGCAGACGGTAGTTACAAGGAGACAGCCCTCAGTTTCCATCAGGCCACAAATGTCAGATTTCCTACTAGAAACTTCATCGAGAGTGGTGCAGTGGTTACACACGGGGCTGGCAGTCTCAGGTGAGCAGTTCAAAACCACCAGGGAGAAGACGACAGGGCTCTCTGCTCCGTAAACAGTGACCGAGTCAGAAACCGTCCTGCTGGGCCGCTGAGAGACGGCAGAGACTCGAGGGCAGTGAGCCACGTTTGCTAGAAACTAGTAAAAACTAGTAAGAAAAAGCCCTGCTGTTTCACCAGCTCATCCGCTGACACCGGACAGACCTGAGCACATGGTTGGCTCACTGCTGAGGGGACCAAGAACCGGCCTTGCTTCCCTTTTAAGGCAGCCTCTGGAGACATCTGCAAGCCACAGCAGAAGCAAACCCGTGCTGTGAAGGCCGGG